TCCTCCTCCTCCTCCTCCTCCTCCCACCACTCCGCTGACGCGGTGCGAATGTTCGACCCCGCCGATTTGCCCGCGGGCCCGAGCCTGGCGGCGATCACAACCATTCTGCGGAACCCGCGCTCGCAATGGCCGGGCATTTCAGCATCCGAGTCGCCGAGCCAGCGCCGCGCGGGCGCTTGCGTTCCTCCTATATATATATATGGGAAGCCACAACTGCAATGCTGTCCAATGCCATGATGCTATACCTGCCTGGTCAGAGGGAGAGCGGAGCAGGAGGAGCAGGGAGCAGGAGGCAGGAGGAGGAGAAGGATGAGGGATCAAGCAGACGGCGGACGGTGGACGGCCGATTGCGATCAGGAGGGGGGACACAGAAACGAGCGAGGAATTGGATAATCCAGCCAGGGCCTGAGACGAGCAAGCGTTGCATAGCACCATGACAGATAGGGCAGCGAGCTCCTCTCGCGTGGGCGTTCTGCGATACAGGCTCACAGTATACGAAGACATGTGAAACGCTACATGTTGCCGACACCTCATTGTTTCGCCAACTTGGTAATAAAACCGACTCCTGAAAGCAGCATCTCGCTCCTCCCTCTCGCGCATTCGCATCGTGTCTTGCGAGTCGTCACCGTCAGACTCTTGGGACTGAAACTGCTGGGACTGAGGCTGCTCGGACTGAGGGTGCTGGGATTGAGGATGCCCTTGTGGCATCACTGCTGGGGCTGATACTGCTGGGGCCGAACTGCTGGGACAGAGCTGATGGAACGTCGGCGTCACTGCTGGAACTGAGGATACCCATGTGGCGTCACTGCTGGGACTCAAATCGCTGGGGCCGAACTGCTGGGACTGACGATGCTGGAACATCTGCGTCGCTGCTGGAACTGAGGATGCCCCTGTGGCGTCACCACTGGGACTGAGGGTGCTGGGGCCGAACTGCTGGGACTGACGATGCCCTTGTGGCGTCACTGCTGGAACTGAGGATGCCCTTGCGGCCTCACTGCTGGGACCGAGCTGCTGGGACATATCTGCTGGGACTGAGCTGCTAGAACTGAGCTGCTGGCACTGCTGGGACTGACTACTGGGAGAGACTGCTGGGACTGAGGCTGCTGGGACGGAGCTGCTGGAACTGAGCGGCTGGGACTGAGCACCAGGTGCATCGTCCTGGGAGGAGCGGGGGGCGCCAGGGCACCAGCCGCCAGCCGCCACTCCCCACTCCCCACTCCCAATCCCTAGTCCCGAGTCGCACATACTATCCCTATCCCTAGTCCCGAGGCCCCCACTCCCCACCGTGCAGTGTCCAGGGTCGGCTCTATGATCACTGGAGCAGCGCCGAGGTCGCCATCGCCGAGCCCCGCGAGGACGGACGCGAAACTGACACGAGGACGGGCGCGAGGAGGACTTTCGGGGATGTCCCACAACCAGGAAGCTAGGCGGCGAAGGCGGCCCTCACCAGAACCAACCGACATCAATTGAGCCGATGTTCTCACGGACGGCGCGCGCATATTGACTTTCCCGCCCTTCGCGCCCAGCGATGCTCGAAATGCGATTATCAACGCGCGCGTCTGGGAAGCCAAGCAAGCCCCGTCCTTCGCGCCCAGCGATGCGCGAAATGCGAATATGAACGCGCAGTTCTGGGAAGCCAAGCAAGCGTCACGACTACCAGGGTGGACGCCGACGTGTCGCGGCCCCCCGCTTCCACCTCCTTCTCCTCATTCCTCACCCTCCTCCTCCTCCTCCTCCTCCTCCTCCTCCCCCTCCCCCTCCTCCTCCTCCCCCTCCTCCCCCTCCTCCTCCCCCTCTGCGCTCTGCGCTGCTAAGCGACCCTTCGGACCTGGAGCCGCGGCCTCCGCCTTCGGCGAAGCTGGAGTCCTGTCTCTCTTCAGGCGGCTCAATGCCCGAGCCTTCCCATCTCCAGCAACATCGTCGTCGTCGCCTTCGATTCGTATTCGTCGTCGTCGTCGTCGACGTGGTGGCGGTCGTCGTCGTCGTCGTCGCCGCCGCCGTCGTCGTCGTCGTCGTCGTCGTCGTGATCCGCCCACCTGCTCACCAATATAAGCATCATCCTGGGTATCGGCCTGACCCCCTGACTCCTGACCCTCATCAGCAAGCGCCTCATCACCATCACCACCATCATCATCACGATCACCATCATCATCATCAGCATCATCATCACCATCATTATCATCATCATCATCATCACCATCATCATCGTCATCGTCGGCATCGCCATCATCATCAGTATCAGCATCATCATCACCATCATCATCATCCTAATCACACTCAGCATCACCATCGTCGCCATCAGCATCAGCATCACCACCATCAACCATCAACATCATCAGCATCATCATCATCATCACCATCATCATCATACTACTAATCATCAACATCATCAGCATCAGCAGCATCAGCCTCCATCATCATCATCACCATCGTAATCATCAGCATCATCATCAGCATCATCATCATCAGCAGCATCATCAGCCGCAGCATCTCCATCGTCCTCCTCACCATCATCGCCCATCGTCATCCTCATCATACTCCCCCCTCCTCCCTCATCCAACCCGCGGTGCCAGCGGCGAGCGGGCAACGTGAGCTCTTGTTGCGCGGCTGGCAGTAGCCGAAGTTGAAGCTGGCGCTGTCACTGCGGCCCTGCGGGGCAGGGGGGCATGGGGGGGAGGGCGAAGGCGGGCGGGAAGGTTAGTGGAGGGAAGAGGGAGGAAGGATGGCGGAGATAGAAGGCCAAATCGGAGAGAGAGAGAGAGAGAGAGAGAGAGAGAATACGAGCAAATAGCAGGCGAAGGCAGTGAGGGAGATCAGCAAGATCTGCGGCAGAGTGGCACGAGCGCGCATCCGATGAGGAGAGGCCAGGTTCTGCTGTCAAGAGGGCGCCCCTTCCCACCCAGCGCCCCTCCTCATTGACCAATGGGACCCCCCACTGATAGCCAAGATGCGGGACCTGGATCAAGGAGTGGAAGAGGAACACCGCACCACACGGGGACAAGTGGAAGCAGACATGCGAGGAAAACGACACGCTGGTGGCTGGTGATGCCTTAGGGCATGATATCAATACCCTGCTCAATGAACATCGCGACCAAATAAGAACCTGCGCACTGCGCAGAGACTGAACGGGCATGAGGGAGAAGGAAGGATGGATGCCGAGAGTGGATGGACATGGTAACAGTCTGTTTAACAATCGGACGCTCATCGGTCGAAATCGGAACCTTGAAAATACCCACTGGCACCCTCGACTACTCGATTTTCCCTTGGGGGTCGGAACCGCTAGTCGCTGCTTGAGCTCTTCTGGGACGACCTGGAGCTGGACCCGCTGGATCCTGAACCACTGGAACTCGATTCGTCGTCGCTGCCGCCCTCGATCTCGGCCAACTGCGCCGCCGCCTCCTGCCTCAGAATGTCTCTGACTCTGTTTGGGGGAAGCCGCCCACTCTGCCAGTCAGCCATGGATGTGCCCTCAGGGGGCAAGGCGCCGTCCAACTCCTCGGCCGAAAACCTGCTCAACCGCTTTTCGTCGATACTTTTGTGGCCTGGATGGATCTGTCGGTTGGGTATGCCGTAGCCCGCAATCAACCAGGCCATAAGGATCAATCGGACCTCCTCGAAGTTACTGACATCAGCAGCGAGGGTTGTAGTCCTCGAACATCGAGTGCTCGGTGCATCCTCGGGGTCATTGTGGCACTTGCACGTGGCTTGCCACCTTAACTTTCCAGCACTCTCCGTCGATAACGTGAATCTGAAGAAGCCGCTCGCGCCCCAATATCCTGAGGATGGGTCGCGGCCCCTGGGCCCAGGGCGAGGGCGAGGCGCCGCAGGTGGCGGAGGAGGCGGTGCCCCCGCAGCCGCGGGCTCTGCTGCTGGCGGCGGCACTGGCCCATGTGGAGAACCACTCGGCCTGGGCGTTGGGTGCGGCGACGGGGGCTGGGATCCCCGTGGAGACCCAAGGGATTTTGGGGGTGGCGACCGTGGGGGGCCCATCATTTCCTTTGGCGGCGGAGGCAGTGGCGTCGCTGGAGGCGGCGATCCCTGCGGAGACCCAGGCGACTTCGGGGCTGGCGACCTTGGGGACGCCGATGTCACCTTTGGTGGCGGAGACTGTGGCGTCCCTGGAGGCGGCGATCCCCCTGGAGACCTGGGAGACTTCGGGGGTGGCGACCTTGGAGAAGGCGATGCCCCCTTTGGCGGCGGAGACTGTGGCGTCCCTGGAGGCGGCGATCCCTGTGGAGACGGAGGCGCCCCAGTAGGTGTGGATGTCCCCCCTATCGGCTCGGGCTGTGAAAATCCAGAAGGCTGTCCAGGAGGCGGTCGCTGCTCGCTCTCGCGATCGCCCTTTGCATCTTCATCTTCTTCCTCTTGTGGCACCCCTGCATCCCGATCTTCATCATCTTCCTGCTCTGAAGCCCCCCCGAAATCGGCCCCAACCTCGAGAAACACAAATGCATGCCGTCGGGCATGGGCAACAGACAAGCGACCCCGACGGAACCCAGGAGCCCAAGAGGCGAGATGTTACCAGTAACAGAATTGAGCATCCCCACCCCGCTCCCCAAATACTTACGACAAACAACAACGTATCGGCAGAAGGTTGCCCACGCAAGATGGCCGCATTTGCACCCTATGTCGCGCGCCTCGCCATCTTGGGACTTGTCCTGTGGCAACGCAAAAGAGGCACCGCTCTCAGACACGGTGGCTGCACAAACGCGGGAACATCTGCGAGGCAAATCGCTCGCTCCTCCCAGCTCCCAACTTCCTTCATCCTCCCTCATCCCTCCCTCCTGCTCTCCTGCTACCCTGTCCTTCCCTCCCTGCTACCTGCTACCTCTTCCCTCATTCCCCCTCCTTCCCTCACTCCTGCTGCCCCTTCCCATTTCTGCCGGATGACTGTCACCGCACCGCAACGCAGCTGCAACGCAACAGCGCCGCAACGCAACCCAATTGCAATGCTGAAGCAGAGGCGCCCTGTGGCATGTGGCCTGTGGCTCGAACCACAATCAGACACCCGTCGCCCGTGTATTTGCCACCCCAGTGTCCAAGAGCGGCAGCGGTTCCATTGCATTGCCAATACGGCGTCTCTTCTTGGGCTTCGGGTCCGCCTCCCCAGCGTCGTCCTGGATGGCCAGGCGCAGCTTTGGCTGCAGCCCTGAGAGCTTCATGCACGCGTCGGCGCCGCCCTCGTGCGGCACGACCTCCTGGCCGCCAAGTAGCAGGCGCAAGTACAGGTGCGAGATGGACGCCCTGCTGCGAGAGAAGTACCACACCTTCTCGCTCGTGCTCGGGTCGTAAGGGGCTGGGGGCGGTTGCTTGTGCTTTTTCGGTGGAAGGAGTCTGCCATGCCAACCAGCGCTGCTGGCGTCCAGGAGCAGCTCGAACACAGTCCTCTCCTCGGGGGGGGGCGAAAGGCAGATGGGGACCATTTGGAAACCTGAGTGGATGGGAAGGGCTGTTTGTGGGCTTCCCAAGTCGCAACCACTCCTTGTCTGGGATGCCCTCTCGCTTCTTCAATGCAGGCGCTGGCCTGCGCAGCTTCTCCAAAGCGGATGCACTATTCAAGCCGTACTCAGTAAAATTCCAAGAAATCCCAACCACATGAGGACCAGGATGTTCCGCACGGCTCACCATGCCAAGTTCTTCGAGGTGCTCCAAGACGCGCAGCTCGGGCGGGCTGTCCACTTCGATGGGGTCAGAGATGAAGCTGGACGCAGACCCTGGGAGGGCCTCCGCGATCACGAGGTCCGTGAAGACTTCGGCCGCGAATGAACGCATGTCTACAGGCAGCCCAGACGGCCACGGCCAGGGCGCGTAAAAGATACCACCTTCTGGTTCCCACGCGAGTAGATTCTGGTCCAGGCGTGGCAGTGCCTCGAGATGGCGTCTCGTAAGTAGCCTGGTGGAGGCATGGGGATCTCCAGTGCCCCCCTCCTCGCCCTCAGCTGCCAGCGCGGGGCCCCCGACGCGCGCGCCTGTGAGCGCCACGAGCACCTCGACCGACCCGTCCTGCATCACCTGATGGGCCACGATATCGTGAAGTGACACAGACATGTCCTCCGAACATAGGTTCGAGTTCGGCGTGGTGACGACGTGGCGCGTCTTTGGTGCTTTGTGCACCACCTTGAAAATTGCGTGGTGCTGTGGGGGAACCATTCTCTCCTCAAGGCAAGTGACCAGCTCCTCTGGAACAGTCTCGCTGTGCACCCCGTCGACATGGCCGCCGTCTGCTGGCTTGGGGAGCAGCGCGGGCACGGTGAAATCGTCGTCTCCGAGCGGAAGCAGCGGAGGGTCATGTCGCGACCTCGTGCCCGATAGTGCCGACTGCAGCGTGGCCAACGACGCGGCAGGCGCAGCAATAGAATAAAATATGTCTTTGCGGCACGTTTTGCGGAAGTGTTGCATTGCATGCACTGATATTAGCCGCGCCCCATGGTTGGGAGATTCCCTTGGCTTCGGCTTGTCGGGGCTCTTCGGCGCAGGGCGCATTGCGTCCGCTAGAACGCGGTGCCGCGCCTGCTGGGTTTGACGGTCCAATCGATAAATGACTTTGCCGACGGTGGATATCTTGCTCCAGCCCCGCATAGCCTGCTCTGAAAGAATCGTCGGGTGTGCGTGTAAGCTGAACGCCTGCAGGAGCCTGTCTGGCGAGGTCCTGAGGTACGCAATGTCAGCGGATAAGGTGTCCAGTAGGGCAGGCTCCTCGCGCAGGCGGCGCCTGATGTCGGGCAACTTTAAGTGCACGTTCACGAAGCCCCCCGATGCATTCGGAGCCCTCGACGATGAGAGTTTGTTGAGTCGGTGTTTTGCTTCTATGCTCCGTTCTGCTATTGGAATACACATCACAATCCCTGCGACTCGACGGAGTCCTGGAAGTGTCTGAAGGCTACTCCTGCCATCGGTGAAAGCCAAGACCTCCTTTGTTGGACGCCCGAAATGTGCACGGAAAGAATGGATACAATGCCCAACAACAAATGTTGTCCTAAACCAACGGCGGCCACTGTTGGGCAGGCTGCCTTTTGTCCCGAGTGGACACAGGCCGCGGCGGCGTGGACAGCAAGTCCTGTTCAAAATGAACCAGATCCGCTGCCGTGCATTGTGCCCATTCTTTCCGTGCCCATTTCGGGCGCCCAGATTCCTGTCTCAAAGGCGACGCCGCATCCAGCACCTGAGCTGCAAGTGGCCACAAGGCGTTCCTCTGCTCCGCGCTCATCGCGGCGTACTGTTCCAGGCACGCTGCCAAAGCCGCGCGCGCGGGCCCCTCGCCCGTCCCGACGCGGTCAACGAACCCGAGCGCACAGAACCTGTAGGGCAAGAAATCCCAGTGGGAAAACTTCATCTCCACGACCTCTGCCAGCGCAGTTCGGGCCCCTTCCCAATCACGAATGATGAAGTCCCTGTCGGCTGGAGGGAGCTTCTGGCAGCGCGTCAAGAGCAGCCCAGCGCACTGATGCACCAGTTCCTCCAAGTGCTGCTTGTGGCGGCCCGCGGCGAGCTCTGGGGCCCTGCGCCCACGCATGGGGCACGTGCTGTGCGGAACAGCCGTTTCCCCGATCCACTCGTGACGCCGTCGAAAGTATGGCCGACCTGCACTGTAGCCGTCTTTCGATATGAAATCGGCGGCGTGGCAAGGACACGCCTCTCCCCAATTCTGCAGTTCGAATAATACCCCATGGGTAGCGTATAACACTGCATGGGCGTATGCCCAGAATGCTGGGTTCTGCACTGCCTGAGGCGGATGCACAAATTCAGATAACGATAATGTAGAAGGGGTGGTGGGGTGCTGGGTGCTGGGCAAGCTAGGGGTTGGCAAGCGGGCGAGGGGGAGGTGGGGAGGTGGTTGGTGGGGGGTAGAAGGCATGGAGCATGGAGGCAGGGCACAGGGCGGGAGAGCGGGCGAGGGCTGAGAGAGGGAGAGAGAAACGAGAGGCGAAGAGAGGATGGAAAACGAGAGGGAGAGAGAGAGCGAGAGTGAGAGAAACAAATAAATGATTTTTCTTCCAATAACGATGTATTTCAGAACGTGCTGTAGGTCACCCTGGTGACGTTCGGCCCTTTTCTCTCTTCTCCCTCTCTCAGAGAGAGGTGGAGGGGGGAATACAGCGAAAGAGAGAGAGAGAGCGAGAGAGAGAGAGAGAGAGGGAGGGAGGGAGGGAGGGAGAGAGAGAAACAGAGAGAGAGAGAAAGAGAGAAATAGAGAAATAGAGACAGAGAGAAAGAGAGAAAGAGAGAAAGAGAGAGAGAGAGAGATAGGGAAAGGGATAGGGAAAGGGAGAGGGGAGAGGGAGATGGAAATGGAGAGGGAGACGGAGAGAGGCAAGCAGCGAGCGGGCGGGCGGATGAATAGGGAGGAGAGAGCAGGGGAAAGGAGAAAAGGGAGGGGCGAGAGGGAAATGCAACAGGGGATTGGCAAACCCACATCCGACTTCCCATGTCCCCTCGCCCCCCTCGGCCCCGCGCCGGTGGCGCGAAAGAGCTCCAGGTACCCCGCCTCTTGGCGCTTTGGTCTCCTTCGGGCGGACGCCCGAGACCCAAAACCCGACGCCTGCAGCAAGGATGACGAGGAAAGGGGCGAGAGAAGGAGAGGAGGAGAGGAGGAGGGGAGGAGAGGAGAGGAGGAGGGGGAGGGGAGGAGGAGGAGGAGGAGGAGGAGGAGGAGGAGGAGGAGGAGGCGAGAAACGGGAGGCAGGCGGGTGTCGCGGCGGGTCGCGGCAGGTCGCGGTGGGTCGCGGCAGGTCGCGGCGGGTCGCGGCAGGTCGCGGTGAGTCGTGGCGTCGCGGCGGGCCGCGGCAGGTCGGCAGGTCGGAATCTCTGGTGAGCGGGGCATTTGTCTTTCCCCACATTTTTGTGTTCCCGTGCCTCGTCAACAAGCTGCAAGTTCTCAGCTGTCTCCTCGTCCTCTTCCCGCGGTCGCTGCGGAGCTGCCTCGGCCTCGCCGTCGACCGGTGGCTGCTGCTGCTGCTGCGCGTCCGACGGGCGCGCGCGGTACGCCCTCAGGCTCCAATGCTGCACCATTGCGTTCTCTATGAAAACCAGTTCTTGGAACGCTGGGATCCAACTGCTGAATCTCCAGTCTGACGGGTGGGCCGTCATCGCCTTCACGGCGAAGTGGTGTTGTTGCGCTTCTGGCGCGCTGAAGCAGCGTTCAAGCAACCGCTCCCTCGTGTAGTGCGTTGACACAAGTCTGATCAGTGGTTTAGCTCGGTCAAGGAACCACTTCTGGTGTGTAAAAGCCCGCAGGACGTCTTGTAGTGAGTTGTTGATGGTGTGCAGTATGCCTGGGATTAGAAGAGCACTGTGGAAAAATGCCCGCGAACCAATCGTGGAATCATCCAGAATCTCCTGCAGCGGCACGGGGTCTGGAGGGGGCGGTGGCCCCATCGGAACATCATTGTCATTGTCGTCCCCGCAGTCGTCTATCACGTCCATTGTAGCCTCTAGCTGCGCAAGAGCTGGGGCGGGTGGCTGCCCCGTCGTCTGTGGATCGTTCTCCTCGCCGTTGTCCTCCACCACCTCCAAGCGCAGCTGCGCGTCTTCGCCAGGCCCGAGGTCGTCGCACATAGCTCCGTCGCCCCCGTCGTCCTCCACGACGAGCCCTGCCGCAACAGCTGGCTGCCCGAGGTCGCCGTCAGAGCTCTCGAAGCCAGCGTCGTCGCCGACCTTGTCGTCAAAACCGCCGTGGTCAGGAACAGCTTGCTGGTCAGCGTCTCCCCCATCGTCCTCCATGGGCGCGAGGTCCAGCCAGTGCGGGAATGCCGCTGCCAGATCCGCAGGCCGCGAGGCGGCCAGCTTGGACTCCGTCCCCATGTCCGACGTGAAGCTCACAATGGCTTGGGTGCGGCGTTGGCACGCCATCATGCTGCTTGACGTCAGGCGGTACTGGTGGATAATCGCGCGTAGCTTATCCCCGAAGGATGTCGCTTGCGATCCGAGCCCCACCGCTGGGAGCATATGGTGCTCCCAGAGGCCAACTAGCTCTCGGGACAGTGTCTTGTAAACCCTGGCCGCGTCCTCGATGTCCTGCAACCGCTCATCGTCGAGGTCTGGGCTGACGTTCCCTCGGACATGGTCAATGGCATCTTGGCGGTAATATTGCAGTTCCCGAACGATCTGATACACGCGGGATGGGTTCAGACAACGAAACGTTTCACTTAGCAACCAGTCGGTCCCCAAGAGCGGACTAGCGTCCGACAGGGCAAACTCCACGCCTTCGTACTGCGGATCCGAAACCCAGTGCGCCCACCTGGCCTGCTCAATCCTCAACATGGCGGCGTCGAACGTTAAAAAATAACGTTGTACTGTACTCTGCGATGGTACCGTTCCATGCTTAAGCTCCTCCAGGATTGGAGCGGCGATGGCAGGGTGTAAGCAAAACTTTATCGCATCTGCCAAGACTGACTCTAGGTGGCGAGCGCCATGGAGTCGCGTCGTGATGAATATGGCGTGCAAGATTCTGGAAGCCGAGTGGATTCTGTGGCCGTGCAGGTGCCCAGGTTTGCCAGAGTCCCTCAGTGCGTCCGACGCGTGCGCCAACCACTGGATCGCCTCTGCGACTGCCTGCCGCCGGCGCTCTCTGGCGTCAGGCGGGAGGGAATCGAAGCAACAGCGGAGAGTGACAGCGACTGTTTCCAGAGACGACGCTCGCAACTGGAACGCCGACGGGGGCGGCGCAACCAGGACCGACCCCGCCGCAGGCCCCGCCGCAACAGGAATCCCGAAATGGACAGCCAACTGATCGAACGACGCCGCACTGGCTGCTCCAGGCCACACGTACACGTGCTTGAATACGCTGCTAAGGAGCAGCTCGGTCATCGGGCATTGCGGCACGTGGGCGAACACCATGGAACTCTGGACCTCGAAGGCGTGACCCTCCTGGCTAAGTTCGGCAAGGGACTGCTTCACAACCTCCGCGCCCAGCAACATCCGAACGCTTGCTTTGGGGAGCCGCACGCACTGCTTGCGAGCTGCGACATCGCCGAACGTAAGAACATCAAGCGCTGGGATCCCATCCACACCAAACCGCTTTACAGCAACCACTTGGGACCGCCAGACATCATAGCCCTCGCCCCCGAAAGCGCGCAGCGCGCATCGTGCTTCGGGGTCGCTGCTGTCGAGATCCATCTCTAATCGGTCGGCTGGGCTGCGAACTAACATGACCGCCACTACACTGGATTCCGCCCGCGCACCACTGGGCTGGAATAGGTATCCGTCGCTGCTTCTGCCAGCGCATCCTCCTCCTCCTCCCCCTCTGCTTCTGCCAGCGGCCGCTGCAGATTCTCTTCTGTCGCTGCTGCCTGGGGGTTGCCCGCATCAAGAAGGTTGCTATCTCTCCCGCACCCGTGCCTGCAAACATACTGCAACACCTTCGTCCCCCTTCCCATCCTCGCCGTTCCCATCCCACCTCCAAGCCTCCAAGCATATCAAACATAATGGAATGCAACATTAAGCCGCTCCCCTCCCCCTTCCATCCCTCGTCTTTCATTGCCCTCATCCGCGAAACGTCGCAATAGGGGTGCAGCTGTTTGCAGGGCACGGGGCACGGTGCTTTGCGGCTTGGGGTTCGGGTTCGGGGGTTAGGGCTGCGCGACACCTGCTTCAAATATGAATGCCGAATCCACCGACGCACCCACGAAGGTGTCCCTGGCCATGTTCTTTGCCGAGGTCGCCCTCGCCACCAAAAACACAGCCACCAGGCGGTCCATCCTCGAAGGCAACTGTCAATCCATTATTATCCTTTGTCGTCCTCTTATCTGTTCCCCGCATCCCCTCTCCCCTTCTCCTTCCCCCTTCTCCTTCTCTCGTCTCTCCTTCTCCCTTCTCCTTCTCCCATCCCCCATGCCGTATCTCCTACCATACCCTATGTACTACCTTACTCTCCGCCATTGCCCCAGGCGCCGCATGGGAGGAGGGTTGCCCATAGGCATCGCTGTCCTCGATAACGCTGTCCTGAAGGAACTCGCTGCACACAACTCTGATATTCTCGAGGCCGCGCCTGGCAACATGCGCGCCCTAGTCGCCCGTGCCCGAGTGGGATGGGATGGGATGGGATGGAGGGATGGGATGGGATGGGATGGGATGGGATGGGATGGGATGGGATGGAGAAGGATGGGATGGGCTGGGCCGGGTTGGGATGGGATGGGGCGGGGGTAGATGGGATGGGATGGAGAGGGAAGGAGAAGACATCGGAGGAGGAGAATGGGAGGAGATGTGATGGGGCGGGGGGGATGGAATGGGATGGGATGGGATGGGATGGGACGGGAGGATATGGGATGGGATGGGAGGGGCTGCGGTGGGATGTGGGATGGGATGGGGGGGATGGGATGGGATGGGGAGGGGATGGGAGTGGAGGGGGCGGGATGGGACGGGGAGGGGATGGGGATGGGGATGGGGATGGGTTGGTTGGCTGGGCACTCGGCGGAGACCTGGTCAAGCCAGGGTCTCATCGCATCCCATACGGTCAATATCAAAACAAGGATGCCGCCACACAGTGTCTTTGGGATGCGTGATGCGTGGCCCGAATTGAGGCTAACAATTGGGCAGAATGCCAATCCAGCTGGCGGCGCTCTTATTCCGACCGAAGGGCGGGCCGACAAAGAAACGCGGGTCAAGCGCGTGCAATGTTGGAAGCGAGCGGAAGACGAGGAGGAGGAAGAGGAGAGAGGTACGGATCCGCAACCGTGCTACTATTGAGATCTGCAATGGGAAGAGGATACAAGAGGATGAAGAGGATGCAACCCCAGGGGAGGGGAGGAAGAGGAGAGAGGATACAACCCCTTTCGCGCTGCCATCCTCTTCATCCCCCCCCTCCTCACTCATCGTGCTCCTCGGGGCCTCGATGAACTTATTGATCGCGGCCCGCGGCGCGGGCGGCGGGCGGCGGGCTCGCGCGCGCGAGCCGCTGGAAACATAAGCGGAGGAGGAGGAGGAGGCGGAGGAGGAGGAGGAGGAGGAGGAGGAGGAAGGGAAAACGCGGATAACGCAGGTATTGGGAGGTCCGCATCCCTCCTCCCTCCTCCTCCTCCCGTTCCCCGTTCCCCCCATCCCCTCCCAAGCATGGCGGTCGGATGCGACGCCGATGCGGTGAGAGGTCAAGTAATGACCGCAACGGGAAGGGATGGGAGGGAGGAGGGAGGAGCAAAATGTCAGATGTGACGCGAGCGTATCTAGTTTGCCTCTCTCTCCTCTCCTCTCCTCTCTCATCTCTCCTCTCACTTCTCGCCCCATCTCACGCTCTCACGGTGAGATTTCCACTGACCTATTGTCGCGCATTAGGCCACACATTGAATTTTGAATGTGTGGCCATAGGCCACGCATTCAATATTCAATGCAAGTGACCAAGCAGATTCCTCTCTTCACCCCTCCTCTTCTCCTGCCTCCTCCCTCCTCCCACCCCCCACCCCCCTCCTACCATTCGCAATTCACCGCGCAACCTCATCCCTCCTCCCTCCTCTGCCTCTGTAGAGCCTCCGATACATCCTGCCCCCTCCTCTCCTCCCTCCTCCTCCTCCTCCTCTCCTCCCTCCCCCCCCCTCCCCCTCCGCCGCCTGGGCGCCTGGGCCCTGGGCCCTGGGCCGCCTGGTTTGCAGCGCCCCAGCGCCCCAGCAGCAGCTGGGCGCTGGACGAGGAGGAAGGGAAGGGAGGAGGGAACGAGGAACGAGGGAACGAGGGAGGGAGGAGGGAGGGAGGGAGGGAGGGAGGGAGGGAGGGAGGGGGGAGGGGGGAGGGGGGAGGGGGAGGGAAGATGGAGAGGAGGGTGGGAGGGTTCTTGCCCCGCAATCTGCGCAAGTGCCCGTCCAAGCGAGCCCCCCCCCCCCTCCCCCCTCCACAAGGGCTCCTAACTTCGCGCTTCGCGCTGCGCGAAGCGCGAACAACTTCGCGCTCTCGCGCCGCCCGCCGCCCCCCAAAGCTCAAAGGGGAGAAGATGAGGACAAGGAAGAGGTGGAGGAGGAACGGTGACCGCGAAGCACGAACATCTAATAACTTCGCGCCCTCGTGCCCTCGGGGGAGCCCTTGCCTCCCCATCCCCCATCCCCTCATCCCTCATCCCCTATCCCCTGTCCCCTGTCCACGGGCCGAAGGAGAGAGAGCCGAGGGCTGAGGAAGTGAGGTCGCCGCCGTCGTCCGTCGGTCGTCGCCGCCATCGCCGCCACCGCGCCACCACGCCACCTGGCGCCTGGCGGCCTGGCGGCGGGGCGCGTCGTCGTCGTCGTCGTCGTCGTCGTCGTCGTCGTCGTCGTCGTTGTCGTCGTTGTCGTCGTCGTTCGTCGTCGTCGTCGTCCCGTCGGTCGTCGCCGCCGTCGTCGCCGCCGTCGTCCCGTCGGTCGTTGGTCGTTACCGCCGTCGACGCCGCCGTCGTCGATCGGTCGGTCGGTCGTCGCCGCCGTCGGCGTCGTCGTCGTCGTCGTTGGCGTCGTCGTCGTCGTCGTCGTCGTCGTTGTCGTCGTCGTCGTCGTCCCGTCGGTCGTCGCCGCCGTCGTCGCCGCCGTCGTCCCGTCGGTCGTTAGTCGTTACCGCCGTCGTCGCCGCCGTCGTCGGTCGGTCGTCGCCGCCGTCGGCGTCGCCGTCGTCGTCGTCGTCGTCGTCGTCGTCGTTGGCGTCGGCGTCGTCGTCGTCGTCGTCGTTGTCGTCGTCGTCATCGTCCCGTCGGTCGTCGGTCGTCACCGCCGTCGTCGCCGCCGTCGTCCGTCGTCGCGTCGGTCGTTAGTCGTTACCGCCGTCGTCGGTCGGTCTTCGCCGCCGTCTACGTCGTCGTCGTCGTCGTCGTCGTTGGCGTCGGCGTCGTCGTCGTCGTCGTTGGCGTCGGCGTCGTCGTCGTCGTTCTCGCTGGCTTCGTCGTCCCACCACCTGAGACCTCGAAGATCACATAATCTATCGAAAAGTGTCGAAATCAGCGATCTGCTGAAATTAGTGAAGGACGCGGGTTTTAACACTTGGCGCAGCAGCCTGGTCGTCTCGATCTCAGCGGCAGGCCCACGTAGGTGATGCTCGCACATTGCAATCATATCGTAAACTGTGCTCGATCTCGACGCTGCACGGCGCCCCCATTCGTCACGTGCACGAGTAGAAGCACTCAACTCGATGATGGCCACCTCGTCGCCAAACCAAACGGACCTGTCGCTACCTCTGGGCTTCTGATGCAGGGCAGCAGAGAATCGATCTGAGCCTGCACCGCGAACAGGATTAGGCCCATCCCCACTCTGAGCCAGCCCTGACAGAGTGCGGATGTCATAATAGAGGGTCTGGCTGCATTGACCCTCGCTCTTGATATTCAGCTACTTCTGGTTTGGGTTGCGCTGGCTTTGACGCTGTCGATGGTGCCGACGCTGCCGCCGCGGCTCCTGGTAGGCGCGCCGCCGGCGCAGCGCGCGTTCTCGCTTTGACCTTCGCCAGCTGTGCCAGGCACTGCTCGATCTGGTCAGCGTCGGCGAGGCCATACTGGGAAGCCAAGGCCACTTCAGGTTCTGCAGCTCGAGGTGTTTCAGGTTGTATTTCATCTTGCTGTGCTTTACGTGCTTCTCCTCCGGGAACTTCTGTATGTTGCGTTCCTGCAACGGTCTTCCATTTCTTGGCTGCCTACGCCGTGTTGCGCAGGTTGGTAGCCCTCTCCAGGGACTCCTCGGCATTGATCACAGCTTCCTTCTTCTGCTGGATATATTCTCGCGCCTTCTGGAACTCGCCCTGGACGGTTTTTGCAGCATTTCTTGTAGTTGGCGCCCAGCAGGGCGATCTCGTCGTGCGATAGCGCGGGGAACTCCTCATCCTCGTCTGGTTTCTCGATGTTCTTGCTCCGCTCATCGCTGGTGTGACCCACTGCCGCCTGCGCCTCCGCGAATGATTTCCTGGCATCTGAGAGCTCCACCATGTTCTCGCCAAGCTTCCTGAGCACGTCACCTCTGTACTCGGTGGCCCGCTGCAGTTGTTTGGCGAGCTTGGCCCGGTACTTCTGCACTCGGTTGAGATCGGCAACTGCCTGCTGGAGTAGTTGTCCTGTGGACGGTATTGTGGGTACTGCAAGAGCTGCGGGTATTGGCTCTGGGCAAGCCAACGCAATCTCATCCAGCTTGGCTTGGTCACTATCAACTTATGCTTGGAGATGCTGCTTCCACATGAACTCGACCATGGCACTGCTGCTGGTCTCGCTCAGCTGGTCGCCCTCTGCATTGTTGGCTGCTGGATCCCTCCAGTTACGTCCGCATGTCTTGCAATTGGTCCATCCTGGCTTGCCCATCCTTTTGCAGTAAACCCAACTGCCACTGCCCATTGGACACACAGGACAGACAATATACTGCGTAGCCTTCTTGCCCTTGGTGCTCGGGGCTCGGGTCTTGCTGGCCGATCGCGAGGGTGTGCGTCGCCAGGGCGGCGGCGTCGTATCCCACGTGCCGCTGTCATTCTGCCAGCCTCGACCTCGCCCCATTCACGCCCTTCACCCCGCCGCCGGGCAGCTGCACGCGCCAGCGGCCCGCTGGGGCGTCGAGCTCCACCAGCGTGCCCACCCGGCCGTTCATCTCGGGCGCGGCCTTCAGCCCCCGCAGCACGGCCTCGCAGCCGGGCCGCAGCTCACGCGACGCCGCCCGCGCCGAGGCAGGGGCCATCTCGTCCGGCGCCGCGGCACGTTCTGGCCGCCCCCTCTCAAGCCACGGGCCGGCGTGCGGCTGGCGCCCCGGCGCCTGCCGCCGCCGACGGTGCGCGCCGTGTCGCCTCGGCCCCGCGCGCGGCCCCACGGGGCAGCTGCACGCCGCAATGGCTTGAGAGGAGGAGGAGGAGGAGGAGGAGGAGGAGGAGGAGGAGGAGGAGGAGGGGGAGAAGTAGACGTCGACGGAGGAGGAGGAGGAGGGGAAGAGAAGGAGGAGGAGGAAGGAGGAGGAGGCGCCCCCGCCTGGCCGCCGCCGCCAGGGCTGCCGCTGAAGAACGTGGAGCCCTTCTTGGAAACCTTCACCGACAGCTCGGGGACGGGCTGCCCCTTCTCCTCTGGGGGGACGAAGAATGCCATAAACAAAAAAAACTCGGAGGTCCGCGCGGGTTTCTCGGATCCGCGCTGGACCCCCCATCCATGGCGCGCGGAGCGCGCCAGGGGTGGCGCCGGAGGCGCCGCCAGGGGGCTCCAGCGTGGATCCGAGAAATCCGCGCGGACCTGCGAGTTTTTATGCTATGTCATTCTTCGGTCCCCTATCCTCGCAGTGGGCCCTGTAGTCGTTGTGGACCTCCCGCCGGGAGGGGGGCACATCGGCGATGCGGCGCGATCCTCCGACCCCATCTACTCCGACCCCATCACAGGAGGCCTCTACGCCCCCTCCCCCGAACGGGAAGTCGGTGGGCGGCAGAACGAACTCGCCAAACTACCTGGGTCCAGAGCTGGGCATCGCTCGGACGTCCATTCCCTGTGCTTTTTTCGGTTTCGTGCGTGGTTTTTTTCCGCCAAATCATCAAGGATGCTCACCGGTGGCCCTCGCCGTAGGAAAAAGGCACACGTCCGAGCGATGCCAAGAGAGGGCCCTGCAGTCTTCGTGGACCTCACGCCGGGGGGAGGCGGGCGCGAGGGGGGCGGGTCTCGGGCACACCGCTCTCGCCGCCACCTGCCGGCAGCGGCTCGCGCAGACTTCGCCGCGCGGTGCGGAGCAGGGGTCAAGGGGGGGGGGGCATCAAAGAGGGGGGTTCGCAAGCCATGGCCCGAGGCCTGAGCGCGGACGAGGCGGGGACCAAGGAACGCACTGACAGAAGAAGGGGCCATGAGATTCGGGGAGATATCGTGGCCCCCGCTATGACATCCACACCTCTCCTAGTCATCACCCCCCTGTCAGACCGACCAGGAGCGCATCCTGAGCGGGATGGGGAGGGGAGGTCAGCACAACAACAGGATCGAACGAAGGAAAACGGCCGGAGCTGGCACGAAACCCGAGGGGGCAGCCGAGCAAGGAAAAGCAGAGGGATCAAGGACAAGGCCAAGTGACGCGGGCACTTGGCGTTGGGACCGAGAAGAGGAGAATGGCGTGAGCGGAACGTCAAGTCCCAGATCAGGGAACACTGGAGGACAGGGTATAGACATGAGTGAAGCGTCGGGATCGGAAGCAAAAGAGACCTGGACAGCCAGGGACACGTCCGAAAGAAGAGAGATCTTGTGGAAAAGCAAGGCGAGCACCAGGGCTGGGGGGGGGGGGGGAAGAGGCGGGGACGGGGCCGAGCGAAGAGCAATGGCGGGAACGGAGCCGGCGAGCACCACAGAGCCGGCGACGAATGTCGGGGCAGGGACCGAAGAGCTCCACTGGCGGGGAGCGGGCGCGCCAGGCACCGGAGCAGCTGGGGACCGTCGGGCCAGGGCCGCGCCAAGCGAAATATCCAATCGGCTCCCTGGACGTGGGCAGGTTGCCAAGTTAGCTCTGCCACCCACCTCACATGACGCGCGTTATGTGAATAGGGGGGCGAAATCCTATAGCTCCCCCTCCTCCTCCTCCTCCTCCTCCTCCTCCTCCTCCTCCTCCTCCTCGTCCTCCTCCTCCTGTGGTCCATCTGTGGTGCAAACCTGCGTCCCCGGTCCCTTTCTCCCGGCCCCGGAGCCCGAAGGCGGCCCCCGAGAAATCTCGGTCAGGAGGGGGCGGGTGGGTGGGTTCGCTGGCACATAGCATAACAGGTTGCGCGCGCACTGCGAACAGCCTACCTGTGCGCCAAGCCGCAGGCGCTGCTGTAAGGGGGGTGGGTGAAGCGGAGGGCGTTATGTTGTCTACTGGGTGGGTGGGTGGGTTGAAAGCCACATAACGCACGTTATGTGTTCGTGTTCGAGTAAAAAAACTTCAGCTCAAGGCGGCGGGACTTCCCATGAAGACACTCGCGCCTTCGGAGAAGTTGTTTTGTTTTCGAGGAAAGTTTAGGAAACTTCTCAGAAGGCCGGGGGGCTTCCGAACCTTCTGAGAAGGCCTTCTCCTTCTCACTTCCCCCCTTCGCTCGCCGCCGAGCTAGAGAAGCAAAGGCTGATAACCTGTGCGCGGGAAGTGGTGACCTAAGGGCCGATCACCTCCTGAACATCCGTCGGTAAATGCGGTGTCGTAGAACGAAGGACGATGATGAAGGTTCTACCCTTCCCCACGAGTCTGACAGTCGGAGCGTGTTGCCAGTTATACCTGCGAGCCGTAAGGGGCGGCGGGTACAGGAAAGAATAGGAGAGATAGGGGGTTCATTAACGACGCTCCTCACCGGGCCGCGTGAGTCTCCGCCCGCTTCGGTGGCCTCGGCGGCATTTAAGGCGCCTCTCCGACTATCCGACTGCCTCCGCCGCGTCGCTGCGAGCGTGGCCACGACGCCATGCCGTGCGTGTGCCGTGCCGTGTAATGCGCAAATAGTCAAAGAGTGTATTAAGGACGGGTAGCAAGGACGCAAGACCCTTGGAGGCCAAAAGTGGGATTTGTTGGGCGGCGGGCGCGCGTCCTTGGGAGCTATTTCTAAACCGACGTTTCGACATTGGGCTGAAGCGGGGGAGGGGGGGGTCTGGCTCCGGACCTCTGCTTAATGCCACTATTTGCAGCAGTGCGTCTTATGGGGGCAGCAGTGCGTCCTATGGGGGAGATTCCACCTGATCGAAACAGGCGCCACAAACAGCCAAGATCTACTCCATGGAAGGACGAGGGAGACGGGGGGGTGCAATGACCCGCGCAAATCGGCAAAACAATGAATAAGAAAACGACAGCTTTCCTAGGCGCGTTGACTGTACTGTCTTCAGCATTTAAGAGAGAGCGTGATCCACCGCCGCTTTACTGTGGAAAATTGCCAACCTTTTCCTCCGGAACCCGGGGGTCTCCCCCCCCCCCCTCCGAAAATCCCCCCCCCTGCTGGAACCCTCCCCCCCCCCCCGGGCAAAACCCCCCCCCTCCCCTAACCCCTCCCCCCCCCCCTCCCCCTCGAAAACCGGGGGGGGTCACTACCGGTTCGAACCCCCCCCCCCCCCCCCCTCCTCCGGATCCGGAAAACCGAGGGGGGTCACTACCGGTTTGAACCCCCCCCCCCCTCGAAAACCGGAGGGGGGTCACTACCGGTTCGACCCCCCCCCCACGCACCGCCAGCAAACGACTCCCGGTCCCTACCACCGCTCGCATCACATCCCCCACTGTTGTTCCCAGCACCACTGTCCTCACCACCACTGTCCCCGCTGGTTCCACCACCGTCCCTATTGTCCCCACCAGTGCCCCCACCACTGTCGCACTGTCCCCACTGTTCCCACAACTGTTCCCACCACGGTTCCACTCTCCCCACTGTCTCCACGGACCCAACCACTGCCTATCCCCACTGTCCCCACTGTCCCACTGACTCCTCCGCTGTCCCACTGAGCTGTCCCACTGTTCCCACCACTGTCCCCACTGTCCCCACCACTGTCCCCACTGTACCTCTGTCCCATTGTCCCACCGCCGTCCTCGCCGACGCCTTTACCAGTGTCCCCACCACCATTGTACCCTCCACTGTCCCAGTGTTTCCACCTCATTCCCACTGTCCCCACACCACTGTCCCCACCACCACCGTTCCCACCACTGTCCACTGTCCCCCCTGTTCCCACCATTGTCCCCACCACTGTCCCCACCACTACCGTCCCCACCACTGTCCCACTGTCCCACTGTCCCCACCACTGTCCCGCTGTCCCCTCACCACTGTCCCCACCAACACCGTCCCCACCACTGTCCGCACCCCCACTCGGTTTTCGAGGGGGGGGGGGGGGTTCGAACCGGTAGTGACCCCCCCCCTTTTCATGATGAGCTGGGGGGGGGGGGGAGGGGTTCGAACCGGTAGTGACCCCCCCCGGTTTTCCGGAGGGGGGGAGGGGGGGGCCGGGTTCGAACCGGTAGTGACCCCCCCCGGCTTTCCGCCAGCAGCGGTAGAACACTCTCTTTCGCATTTAAAGGACTCAAAGATGGGGTCCGAGTAGATGGGATCGGAGAATCGCGCCGCATCGGCGATGCATCGCCGACGTCGGCGACTCAATCGGCGACGTCGGCGTGGAGAAAATATCGAGCCGCATCGCCGATGCATCAGCGATGCGGCGCGATCCTCCGACCCCATCCTCTCGGACCCCGTCTGGGAGGCCCCTCCTCGTCCTCCTCCTCCTCCTCCTCCTCCTCCTCCTCTTCCTCCTCCTCCTCCTCCTCCTCCTCCTCCTCCTCCTCTTCCTCCTCCTCCTCCTTCTCCTCCTGCGCTGCTTCCAGCACTGGCTTGACCTCTGGGGCCTCGCCCCGCGCGCGGCGGGGCGGCAGCGGGCGCGGGCCTTCTGGAGCTGGGTCTCGGCGTAGGTCACCGCCTTGTCGAAGGCGATCTGGCAGGAGGCCACGGTGGCAAGAGGGAAAAACAGAATCGCTCCCGTCCCATCATCTCTCATCCCTCCCTATCATCTCTCATCCCTCCTCCCGTCTTCCTCTCTTCTTGCTCCTCGTCCCTCAGGCAGGAAAGCCCAGAATCGAATTTATGAGTCGATCGGCGATCGAGATGAGTCGGATCAGCAGAAATCGGCGGCCAAATCGGGAGAAGTCGAATCGGCAGAAATCGGCAGGCTAGTAATACCTCGTTGAGAAATCGGAGTCCAACTCAGAATCCCAAGTCGAGTCGAATCGGAATTGGAGGCCATCGAAGTCGAATCGAATCGAAGGCATCGAAACGAGCCCTAAAAGAAGCACGACCCTACGGTAGAAGGAGACAAATAGTGGACACTCCCCCGCCCCCCAAACTCAAAGTTGGCACACGCGGGGAAGACTGCGGTCTAAATGCAGCTCATTCAACCCACCGCCAACATTGATCATTTGGGGGGGGACATTGACGGATGACTGCGGCAAGAGTGCTCGCTAATTTCTTCCGAGGCCTGTACCTTGGGAACAAAACCGACCCTAGCTTGTGAACCATGGCCAAAAACCTCCCCCTCCATGACGGCCCGCCTCGGTCATGGGCCCCTCGCCCCACGCAAGATGCGGATTGGTTGGCAAGGGTGCCTGAAGGTGACGCGAGGGGTGGGAACTCTACCTGACTCTCTGAAGTATGTTGCTTTCCGTCGGATGGCATTGATGTGACTTGATTTGTTGTGCATTGCACTGGGTTGCAATGCGTTGTATGGAATGTCTGTTGCATTGATCACGCATTGCAAAGCAGCGAAAGCGGGCAGATCGAAACAACTCGAATCAAACAAATACCGTAACATGCGTGTGTGTTTGTTTCCTGTATGCGTATCAACTCGGATTTGATCATTTGCACAATTTGCGGCCAGTCAGAAAGCAGCTCCCATAATTGGAGTCGCGCACTGGTCCAGCGCCTCCCTCGGACGATGAGATCGGCGACCACACGTTCCCTGCTCCCTTCCTCCTCCCTCCCTCCTTTCTCCCTACCTTCCCCTTCCCCCCGCCATCTCTCATCATCCACCTCCCTCCCTCCCTCACTCCCTCCCTACCTTCATCCTCCTCTCTCCTGCCCCCCTCCCTCCCTACCATCTCTCATCCCTCCTCCCGTCTTCCTCCCTTTTTGATCCTCGTCCCTCAGGCAGGAAAGCCAATAATCGAATCCATCAGTCAGATATGTGATCGAAATGAATCGGATCGGCGCAAATCGGCAGCCGAGTCGAATCGGTAAGAATCGGCAGGCGGATATGCCTCCAATAGAAAATCGGAACCCAAATAGGAATCCCGCGTCGAATCGAACCGGAATCGGAAGCAATCGAAATCGAATGCACTCGAATCGAATCGGAGGAATCGAAACGAGCCCTGCACAGGCTCTTCCCCAGGGGAAACATTTCCCTTTGGGGGGCAGGGCCCATGCGCGCCGCCTCGGCCGTCTGCGGGAGCAACCGCGCGCTGCGAGATGTCATCGGCTGGCGCCGTCGCAGCTGCCGACCGAGGCTGGTCTTAGGTCGGGCATGTCCTCCTACAGGCGGGTTCTGGACGAAGAATGAAGAATAGCCCAAAAATCAAAATCAAAAATAGTCAGAACAGTACACGAATCGTCTCCTGACTATTTTGTTGACTATGTTTGGAAATTCTTCCTGTAGAGGGACACGCCCAACTTGAGGTTGGTCGTGCGTCCTCGCGGAGACTCGGCCACGCGGCGCGAGCCGGCCTTCGCCTTCAGATGCGGGATGTCGCCGCGTGGAATCGTGCTTGCGCCCCCCATTCGCCAAGGCGCTTCCCTTCGACCAGCTGCTCTGCCTTGCGTGCTGCCGTCGCCAGTTTCAGCAGCTTGCCTGCCCCCCCGTACTATGTAGAAACATGAAGTAGGAAGGTGTCGAAAATAGATTGGGCTCCGTCCGCCCCCTAAAGAGGACGGAAAGGGTGAAGCCACTCGATCATTGAAAAAGGAAGCCGCTTAAAGTAGACCAGGATCTGGAAATCCAAAAATACATACTTTGAAAGACCGATGTGTAATCCGCGTGCCGATCTTTGTGAATACCCCTTGTGCCTTGCAGGCCAGGACCCAGCCGCTGTCAATGGCTGGCTCTGTCTTTAAGTCGATAGCATCGACGACGCCCACGCCAGCACGGACACCCACGCGAACGGCAGCACCCTCGTCGCTGCCTGCGCGGACTCGATGGCGGATGCCAAGGACTTCACCATATCACGTACCACCTGTCCATCCACTTCGCGGCAGAACTGGCCTCCTACAAGGGCCTCTGGCTCCACAAGCTACCGTAGCCCCTCCGGAGGCCCAGAGCACGGGTGGAGACCGAGTGCACGGCCGCGCGCGCTGAAGTCCACTGGCCACACCACCTGCTGCTCCACATGTAGGACTTGGCGCACGTGCGGCATATCTGGGCTCCGCTGGATACCTGGATGCCCCTTCCACGGTCTCGCGCACGGCGGTGCACGAGCCCATGGCCGAGCGATTGCGTACTGGCCATCTGCGTGCACCACCGCCTGTCGTTCCATCCACTGTCGCACCTGCTGCGACACTTCGTGGGACGCCGCCGCCGCTCTCCGACATGAGACATCAGTCAGGACCTCCGATACGGCACGAAAAGTGCCGAGCGAAAACTTGGGACGCTGCTGCCGCTTCAGGGCCCCATGCTCGGCTGTGTGGTTGGCCAGGCGATGCAGATGCTGCGCTGGCTACGACCGTTGCTGTGCATGCGACCTTCTCGGCACCTTCGCCATCGACGACCGCTCTTCGTCTCAGTACGTTCAGGCGTGGTGGATTGCAGCAGAAATGGATTTGTAGTCGCGGGCGTCGTGATCAAGTAGATTAGTTCCGTGCACTAGCGACTCGCGTCGATCTTGCTGTCGCTGAGGCCCGTTATCGCACGTACGCGCGCTGGTGGCATGTCCGTCCAGTGGGAGGGCGAGGAGCAGGAGGAGCAGCAGGAGCGTCATGCAGCGCTCGTCTTCTTGGCGCTGCCCGCGGTCTCAGAAACGTCCGCAGCGCTGACTCCAGCCCCTCTGCGGCTGGCTGCAAGCCGTACTGACAGCATGTTTCTTGGTGCCCTTGCAGCCGTCTCTGTTCTCATCTGCTGCTATTGCTAGTTGCGTGCCGCCCTAATCTGACAGGTTTCTGCTTCATCGGCCTTATCTAACAAATCCTCCTCCCTCCCTCCTCCCTCTCCCTCTCCCTCCTGACTCCTCCCTCCTCCGTTCCTTCCGCACGCACGCTCGATCGCAGCCCATCGGTTTGCCAAGGGCTTCGTCAGCCTTCCAAACCATCTTACCCCAGGCCGCCAGCCGTCTTCGTCTTAAGTGGGATGGTGTTGGGGATCTGGAACAGGAAAAGCAATGAGGAAACAAGGAGAGAGTGAGAGATAGGCGGTAGAGACGAGGCGGGACAAGCAGGAGAGGTGTGGGCTTGGGTTGCAGCTCTTCGCGCATCCTGCCTCACTCCCCCCTCCCTCCGAGCTGAGGGGTACAATTAGACCTAGGACAGAATACCATGACTCAAGGACATGAGACCCTCCGTCGGCCAAAACGCAAAAAATCCAATGGTACCCTCCCCAGGATGCTCAAGAGCTTCCATGCATTAAACACCAAGAGCATTACAGCAGGAGCTCGACCACAAGAAACCTTCCACAAGAAACCCAACCCTGAGACCCCAGGAAATCCGTTGATATTTGGTGTGGGAACGTCATGCTCCCCATAGCAGGGCCACCGAAACCCAAGGAACCCAGGGCACCCTGGAGGCAAGCAAGGTGTCTCTTGGCATTGGTTTCCACTGTATGGCACCCTCACCGGACCGACATCGATCTCATGCCTCGGGCCGACTGTGCTCCCGTCCTCCTCCTCCCCCTCCTCCTCCCCCTCCCCCTCCTCCTCCTCCTCCTCCTACTCCTCCTCCATCCCTCCCTCCCTCCCTCCCTCCCTCCCCCGCCCGTCACCACGGCTAGAGGCCTCCTGGCTGGGGTCCGAGTAAAAGGGGTCGGAGGATCTCGCCGCATCGCCGACACGTCGGCGATGCGTCGGTGATGCGTCGGTGATGCACCAGTGAAGCATCGGTGATGCATCCATCGGTCACACGCGCCCGTAAATTGCGACAGCGTTGTGCCCCCGAGGCGGCATTGCAGTGCACATATCGCCGTCTTCGCGCCGCCGAGGCCAACACATAACGTGACGCACCACGAACCCACCCCATGGAGGCTGCACAAAAACGCAGCTTTCGGCCCTTCGCTGTTTTCCATCAGTTCGGCTCTGGACCCTTCGAATATAGCTGGCAGGAGAGCCCAGAATCGAATCGATAAGTCGAATCGGCAATCGGAACGAATCGGATCGGCGGAGATCGGCAGCCGAGTCGGGAAAAGTCGGATCGGCGGAAATCGGCTGGCCGGTAGACTTCTGTTGAGAAATTGGAACCCAAATCGAAATCCGAAATCGAATCGAATCGGAATCGGAAGCAATCGAAATCGAATCGGATCGGATCGGAGGAATCGAAACGAGCCCTGATCGGCCCTGCACTGGCGACGTCGGCGATGCAGCGGCGACGTCGGCGCGGAGAAAGGTGGGCCCCACGTCGAGCCGCATCGCTGATGCATCGCCGATGCATCGGCGATGCGGCGCAATCCTCCGACCCCATCTACTCCGACCATATCCAGGAGGCCCAGATTTAGG